AAACCCTTTGTGTTTAAAATGTAGGAAGAGAGCCTTCTGAAGCAAAATGAAATAGAGTTTGTTTTACATTCTGTATGATAAGTAAACACATGTTCATACTTAGCAATGGGAAAACATATATTTCTGTCGAATGGTTCTTTTGTTTTCTAATTCTTTGAAACATTTTTTAACAATACCAGTGCTTCATGTGAGGGGAGCATTTCTAAAATTCAAACTCAACAATGACCCATGATCGATTGGAGCATTTAATGCTCCCTTTTATTTAGCAAGAAATGGTGATAAATATGAACAATAAAAATGTTATTGAAGAGTTTAAAACACTCATTCCTCCTGAAAGGTGTATGCTTTTGTAATGTTTTACATAATAGTAATTATGAATAAATTTAGATAATTATTTAGAAATTCCAGTTTACGTTGTTCCATGATTTTTAAAGTTCAAAATTTTTAATGATATTCTATAACTTATAATACAAATATATATGATGTGAACGTTTGTGTGTTATTGTACAAGTGTTGGTCCTACCTTAAAAATTTTCTTACAATTTTTTTCGGGGGGAGGTGTGAGACTGACACTACCTTTAATCACCCCCTAAGTAATAAATAAAAGATCACGCCTGTGTATTGTGTACTTATTAACATCGTTTATTCTTTTTTAACAAAAGGGACGAATTAAATTAAAATAAAATAAATATGTAAGTAAATAAATTATACTTTCTGTAGTTAAATTTCAATTTATTTATTTATTTACATTTATGAATTCTTTTCACCACAGATTTCCTGCTTAACAATTCATATAGCGTAGATATAGTGAAATTATAATAATGTATAAAAAGGCAGTCACTTTTTATTTATTTATTTAGCAGAACTGAGAATATTTTATTGCATTGAAATAAAAAGTGCAAAGCTATTTTACAATGTAACTACGATGCATTTTTAAAACTACCATGCTAATAGAAGAGAACTTTTTTATATTTAAAATTAGCTTAACTGATGGGGCCCAATATAGGGTAAAATTAATGGTTGAAACTGCCCTCAGGGTGACTAAATGTAACAATTGGCGATTAATAAATTGACGATCAGTGGCCACTCTATCTCCACTTTTCTCGTTGAAATATTTTGAAAGTAACTTTATTTTCTGCTTGATTCTTAAAATCTTACTTTTAGAAATGAACCTTGAAGTTTTAACCATAATTTAAGAAATCTCTCAAAGGTTTCATATTAATATCAACAGTTTTTTTAATTGTTTAAAATGTTCAATTTTGTTAAAAATTGCCACGTGTTTTACAAAGTGGTCACTATTGTAAATGCAACAAAAATACCATGTTCAAACACAAGACCTTCATCAGTGGTGTTTGGACACTGATAAAAGTTCTTCATTATATAACTTGTCTTGAATCTTCACTGACTTCAAAAAATAGGAGAATGCAAATAAAAGTGGACTCTTAGTCAGTAAAATAGCTGCAAATTCACTGCAGGTAGTAGTACCTGGTCTTATACTGAGAGCAGAGATCATCAAAATGAAGCTGACGATGTTAATCCGTTTCACATTTGCATTTTTAGTAATTAAATAATTTACGGTGTTCACACAAAAGTGTTTTTGATCACACAAACAATTCTATCTTAATATTAAGGATCACCTGGTTCTTTTTAGCACTACTTATTCAATCGAGATCGACGAGACGAGAGGGATAAACTTAATGTATTAATCAGAAAGAATATACAAGATATTATCGAAATTTATAATCTAAATAAGAAGACAAAAAATAATAATGAATTATTTAAAAAGATATTATGGAAACTTATAATCAAAATAAGAAGATGAAAAATAATATTGAATTATTTAAAAGCAATTTATGAAGTCATAAAAAATTATAAATTAAGATTTAAAAATTAATTAAATCAGAAGATATTGTAGTACTTCTAATTTGAAGCGCATATATATATATATATATATAGCGTATTTCGCTCCTCACGAAAACCAGCTATTTCAAGGTATACTACCAATTTTTCCTCATTTCCGTATTACTTCAGCCCTGGTTTGATGTTGAAAATTAATTTTTACTATTTTCACAACGAAAATTAATTTTTACTTATAAATCTAGTGTCTTTTTTAAAATTAGGTCTAGCTGAAAATAGTAACTAATAATTTAATCTAACTAATAATTTTAATAGTAAAAGGGTTATCAGTTTTCATAAAAGCTACATTGTGAGATAATAGTACACTACTAAGAAGAAGAATTAAAAAAAATAAAAAAGCATTAAATTTGCGCAGGACCAGGCTGGACTGCGAGGTCCGCGGCAAAGCATTTTACGGAAAAATAGAATAATTCAAAATTCCATTAAAGTAGCTTTAAATTCATTATAACTGATGAAATTATTTTTTTCTTCTTCGAATTTTATACTTTTAACATTTCTATTGGTTATCATCATGTCACAGGGCTGCACTATTCCTACGCTTTTCGGTAAATTTTCTTCGATGCAGTAGACTCCAAGTTTATGTTATAATCTATGATTCTTTGTTTTGTAAATTTGATTTAAAGTTATTTTCTACACTACATGTAAAGGATTTAAAGGTTTATATGAAGCAACTCTTTGCTGGCAAAATTATCATATATTCTGAATGCCATAACATCAATGCCATAACAAATGCTGGCAAAATCATCATACATTCAGAATGCTATAACAAATGCTGGCAAAATCATCATACATTCAGAATGCCATAACATCAATGCCATAACAAATGCTGGCAAAATCATCATACATTTAGAGTGCCATAACAAATGCTGGCAAAATCATCATACATTCTGAATGCCATAACAAATGCTGGCAACATCATCATATATTCTGAAAGCGATAGTTTTAAGAGTCTACCGCTCTGTAGATTGTTGTAGTTGGCAGCCTTTATTTTATTTAGGTTGAAGTTGAGGGATTTAAGGTTGAAGTCCCTCACTTAAATGATCATATAAAAATGCTAAAATACATTTTTATTTTGTAATTTGATGATTCTAGTTAATATGACTAAAAATATAGAGACCACTATATCTTCAAGAACCTAGATACTGCTATTTTATCCAGCTGCACAATTTTTTTAGGCTAAAGAAATCAGATCAATGGATGAGAATGTATTATACCTAAATGGTGGTGATTTCTATCAAGGTACTGTCTGGTATACCCTTCACAGATGGCAAATAGTTGCCGATCTAGTCAATATGCTAGGTATAGATGCTATGGTAAGATACTGAGATTCTGTATATATTTTTAATTATATTTCTATGTAAGTACAATAGTTAGCTTTTTCATATCTTATAAAATGGCTGCATGCGTCGATTGTTATCATTGAAAAATCTAGTTTCAAAACGAAATCAACATTCAATCCCCCCAAACAGATTCTCGCTTCAAAAATATACCTGTTAACTTTTATCTTTTTGAGGATGATGTTTCTTTCCTAAATGGTGGTTAACCCTTTCTAAAACCGTAGTAAGTATACTTACCATCAGTTTTTAAAGTCCGTGTTAACTTTTCTACCACTTTTACTTTAGGTTTCCATTTGTTAATAACTCCAGCTTTGTCGAAGTGCGTTTGAATAAAATTGGCAACCACTTTTAAATATAAGAAAACGTTTTGTAAACTTTTAAAATGCATATTTCCTTTTGAAGTTTGTAGCATTTATAAAATTCATTTTATAAATAATGAAAAATAAAAGTGAATATACTTATCACAAAAAAAAGGCATTAAAATTTAAATTTATTTCTTATAAGCTAAATGAGTTTTTCTTTTCTTAAATCAATTACTATTCTTATACGAATTTCAATTCCAAAAGTTCTTTAATTTACCTTTAATAGAAATAAATGGCCCACTGGTTAAATAACAGTGGCAGTATAAAGTGGGTATTTCCTTTTGTTATTTACCACTCTAGTTATAGAAAGGCACTTTAGTGCCTTGATTTCAAGTATTTATATTCTTAATATATTTTGAGGGAAAAAATCTTGTTTATTCACACAAAATGAATGACAATAATGAAAAACTTAGGTTACCTTCCTCTACTTTTTCGAATGAAACCTCTCTCTTAGAAAGACGTTAGGTACAAATAAGGTTTAACTATCTAGAATGATTCTGCTTTGATAAAACTCAAAAATATACCACAATACCTTAATTCATTGGGTTATAAGTTGTTTTAAACCTTTAATAAGTTATTTTGAACCTCACCACCTTGGTAATAAGTCGTTTTAAACCTTTAAGATACTTTAACTCCTTGGAGTACTTTAAAATGCTGTTTGAACTAATGTAAGAACCAAATCATTTAAAATACATAATACTGTATTTTTGCATAAATTTTAAAAGCATAAAACAACGTGGTTACTCCTTATTAATGTGTATTAAAAAAAATTAAAATATTGAGCATAGTTGTCAACTTGCTCCACTTTGCAAAAAAATATTTCTAGTGGTAACGAAATTTAAGTAATTTTTAGTTTAGTAAATTTTGTGAAATAATTTTTTCACCACTGCATATCAAATATTAAAAGTTATTGCTGTTTCGTGGCGACACTTTTAAAAAGTAGGCGTAATTATCCTTATTCTACAAGTCATGTTATTTAATTCGCTACCAATTTATTAAAACTTGTAAGCTAGTTGGCATCTCTCCACTTAGTTACAGTTATTTTTCACTATTAAAAGTGAAAGATAATAATTAATTTTTGGATTTAAAAGAGTGGAATGAAGGATTAACTGGAGGAAGTTTTTGGAAAAACTAATAAACTGGTAGCAAAATTTCTAAACGAACATTTGAAAACTCAACTCTCTACTATCAATTATTTTTAAAAAAAATATTTTCGTAATATAATCACTGCCAGGAATTTTAGTTCTCAGAATATTACATTGAAAACGCAAAGCAGTGAGCTTTAAAACATCCTTTCAGAAACTTAGTTACCAATTTCTTAGTTTTACGGGGTTAGTTTTCTTAGTTTTAATAATAATCACAAAATATAATTTATCATTTAACAGCATTATCAACTTATAAAAGCCTAATAATATACAGGGTTATTCATAATTCCCTCCGGGGTTTCGAAGCGTTATAGTAAAAAAACGAAGACGAATATGGCAAAAAAGAACATATCAAATTATTCCTAAAGTATTCAAGTTTTAATTTAAGCAGTTGCCGGTAAATGGCAGTAACATGTACCATTGAAGCCAGTTGTAGTAAAGAAAAATGGCGTTTACAGGCGGAGGGAATTATGAATAATCCTGTATATAGATATTTTTATTCATTTATTGAATTTTTGTTCTTGGAATACATTATTTTGCAGTCTCTCGGCAATCATGAGTTTGACGATGGTCTTAAAGGTCTTTTTCCTTACCTTCAAAATCTAAAACCAAAAGTAACTGTATGCAATATAAACGCATCTAAAGTTCCAGAATTTGAAGAATTAGTTACACCTTCAACAATAATTGAAGTAGGAGGAGAAAAAATTGGAATTATAGGATATCTAACTCCAGAAACAAAATTTCTATCGTCAACAGGTAAGAAGCTCTTTTGAACACATTAAAAACCTAAATTAATTTTCTAACACAATTATTGTAAGGATCTAAAAAGTGCTTTTTTTTAATTTTTTGTTTAAAAAAATTCTAAATTGTTTTTTTCAAAGATTATTTTGTTTTTCTTCTGAAAGATATATATAGGATGGTTATTTTATTAAAGTTACCGTATTTTAACCAACATACATTCTGTTCCAGTAGACGGAACTTGGTACATTGACTAAAAACCGGTGTAACCACCAGAATTTGGAATGCAAGCATGCAAACGCCATATATATATAAATATATATANTATATATATATATATATATAGATATAGATATATATATAGATAAATATAGATAGATAGACGATAGATAGATAGATAGATAGATTCACAGAAGAGCCATTACATTATGACCACAATGGGCTCGCCCAGCTTTTCATGGTTTCTCGCCCAGGAACAAGGTTTTCATGGGGCACATTAGGACGCACAATCCTCATAGAACAATCTCTGACGTCTGTAAGCTACTTGAGCATAGTTCACCCATTCATGGCAACAGTTTTTTCCTGCGGGGGATGGTGTTTACCAACAGGATAATGCACCATGTCATAAAGGTCGAATCGTCATGGATTGGTTCAAGGAACATTCCAGTGACTTTCAAGTCATGTCTTGGCCCCCGAATTCACCTGACCTTAATCCAATGGAGCATTTGTGGTCCTACTTGGAAAACCGAATTTGTGCTGCTACGCTACCCCCTCGCAATGTGAGGGAATTGCAGGACCAGTTGGTGAGCGCTTGGTACCAGATACCTCAGACTACCTATCAGCACCTTGTGGAATCAATGCCACGGCGGGTGCTAGCAGTTTTGAAGGCAACAGGTGGTTCTACATGTTACTAGCAGTGTGGTCATAATGTAATGGCTCTTTGGTGTATATTACATATGGGGTTTATGCTTGTTTTCAATATGATTTCATTTGAAAGCCACTTTTAACATCTACCTTGCACTAATAACTCCACAATTTAGAAATAATATTTATAGTTCTTCCGTAACAGCATTATGCAAAATGATTTTATGAAAATAATAAGTGGTTTTTAAACCGCTATGAATTGCATTAATACCATTTCTTATGTTGGAAAAACAATGTCAATCGGCCAAAACTATTTTTTAAATACAGACTTCGTTTTACTCATGAACCATATCAAGTATTCAACACCCGTCGACCTGAATGGATCATATGCAGGTCTGAACTGATAATTAGCTCTAAGGTCTAATTTTTTATTTATAAGGTACCGTTCGTTCAGTTTCCTTTTGTTAACTACAACATTAGTTTTGACCCCCAAGTGCCCGCCATTAAAAAAAAAAAACATTAGTTTTGAAACGGCATTGTATCGGGTCTTCAAATCCAAATATGAATGTCATATAAAAAATAAATACTATTTTCAACGTAGGTGATTTAGAATTCGAAGATGAGGTTGAATGCATTAAGAGAGAAGTCAGAAGATTAGTCGACGAGGAAGGGTTGAATAAAATAATCGCTGTCGGACATTCCGGATTCGTTATTGATCAAAATATTGCCAGAGAAGTGCCAGAGATCGACATTGTTGTTGGAGGACATACAAACACTTTTCTTTACACAGGTAATTTTCTAAATTAATTATTTCGAAGCACTAACTTAATCAGCAGTAAATATTTTTTGTTTTGTTTTTAAATATTAAAAAATTTTACGCAAAATCTGTGTCACTTGTCACAATCTATTTCATTTGTATCAGTATTTAAAAATGATATTCATTATGCCATGAGCTAAAAAACTTAAAATAAAATTAACTTAAAAGTTTATGAATTCTGATAGGAGGGAATAAAATGCACGGTTAAATTCGCTGTATGGTTTTAAGTCTTAATCTTATTTTCTGAATTCTGCTACAAATAAACGATAATGATAAATTTGAATGTATTTAAAAATAAAACATTTTTGATTGTACTTAGGTTTTTAAATGGTTATAACTTCAAATAGTTCTTTTTTGAGATGATATTTTGAAATCGATTACAGAAAAAGTTAAAATGGATTAATCAATTAAAGAAAAAGCATTGAATCTTTGAAAATCTTATTTAACCCTTTGCATTCGGAGTTCCTTCAACAACTAAAATAACTTCAACAATCACTAAAAGTTACTAAAACAAAACTCAGCGTATGCATATTTACCTTTTAATACCCATAGATGCTCATTTTAGTCCATGGAAATTTTGCATAGCTAAAAAAGCATCTTTAAAACTGTGCTAACTGTTTCCAACAATTGCAGCAAAAAGAAATTTCCAGACAAGATAGAAAGCGTTTTCAGATTTTTGATTAAACATTTGCTTCTTGTAATACATTTGTTTTTAAGAAGTCTTTGGTTAAATGTAATTAATTTACTGTTCTATTTAGGTGTACCGCCATCTGTTGAAGAAGTGCAGGGCACGTATCCAGTAGTCATAGAACGAGAAGATGGATCAAAATCTTTAGTTGTTCAAGACTTTGCATTTGGAAAGTATTTAGGATATTTGAAAGTAATATTTGATGATGGTGGTGAAATTATTTCCTGGGAAGGAAATCCAATTCTGTTAGATTCATCAATAGTGGAAGGTACTTTTCATAAATATTAAATCATATGCTTGATGAAATGAAATACAAATGCATTTTGGAGTGTGCGGATCGCACTGAATAATAATAAAAAAAATTCTATGCAATGATTTTGAAATTTAATAAATCTAGCGTCAGAAATTTGAGTCCTATAAAATAAGGAATAAGATTAATGAAATAACATTTAGTTGGTAACTTCTCCCACATAGATGATTTTTTTAAACAAACATTCAAAGAAGTGGGGTGATTTTCCTTACAATTTCATTTTTGAATTTATAAATTTATTTTAAATGGTTTTGTCTTTTACATAAAATTATTTCAAACTAAATTCTCTGTTAATTATGCGATAAGTTATAGTAAATAAAAAAATATATTTAAACTTGTGTTCACATATTTTCCAACTATATAAATATTATGGGGAGGTAAAACTTTTCGAGAACTATTAGAGACAGCTCTCGTTTACAGAGAGATTGAATGCTACGATTCTGAGGTGCTCCGGGGGGGTTATTCATCCTTTTTTGTTTGTTTTCTCGTTTTACTTTTCCCTCTCGTTTTTACTTGAAACATTATTTTTTGCACCTCTTGATTTTAACAATTAGCACACTTAATTTAACTTTGAATACATTATGCATAAATAAAATCCCCCTTGACCTTATAGAAGCGTTACCACATACGAATTGTATATATTCAATTCGATCCCTGTTCGAAATCAAGTTAACTTGCTTTTTATTTATTTTGCCTAATGGTAAATCCAGTTGGTAGGTTTAATATTTCCGGACTGTTTTTGCCACAGTTTTGCCAGGAATGTTCTTCCGTGGATGACGGAATACAAGTTATAGTCCCAAGATTGAACTAACCATACGATGTTTACAAGATGTCCTAGACTCATGGTACAGGGGAAAGTGTTACAGCTTCTGTTGGTCGGAAGTGACATGGAGCACCAAAGGTAGAAGACTGATTTAGCTTCATAGTTTCACCTGGTAGCATTAGCTGGGCATAATGGAATGGCCTTCACGCCTAAGGTGGCCCTACCAGGAGCTGAGCTCCCGGCGTACTTCGCCCATTCCGCCCAGTGACACCCCCTCGCCACGGTGAGGCAGCTAGCAGGATTTTGAACTAAATGTAGAACTGCTCAGGCTCCGCCCAAGCATATTCTAAACTGTATCGATTTTAAGATCGTCGAGGTTTTTTCAAAACCTCATCTGTTTTTAGACTTTCTGGACATTTTTGGACTTGTGGATTTGGTCTAATTGGGATGGACCTCTTGGGGACAAAACAAACAAACACAAGATGTCCATATAATGCAAATGTAGGTTAATTTTCCTAAAATTCCCTCCAAGAAGGTTTGATTGACTTTATTTTTGACTCGGCAGTTATTTTGTCTTTTGAAATGAATCTAAACTCATGTGTATACGGAGATGATTGTTACTTGCTTCAATATCATCACGGGATCAACGGTGATAAATATAATAAATTGCTATTTTGTTATGGGTTGTGTTTTAAAGCATTTTATTATTGCAGATGAAGAAACAGTGGAAATGTTAAAACCCTATGGAGATGAGGTGAAACGACGAGTGCGCCAGTCTGTGGGTCAAACTAATGTCTTGCTAAAGGGTGATCGATTAGTGTGTCGCATGAAAGAATGCAATTTGGGAAATTTCTTGGCCGATGCGTCTCTCAGCTACTTCATTGAGCAACCCACAGAAAAAGGATGGAACTTTGTAAGCATCGCTTTGTGGAATTCTGGAGGAATTCGGTCGTCTATAGATGAAAGACTTAACGAAGGTAGTTCGGTAATTTTTGAGATTTAATTGCACAACTTTGAAAGGCATTAAAAGAATAAAAACAATAAGTTATATTATGTCGCTACACTGGGGAGCAATTTTTCTTCCGCTGCGTGTGATTTTAGAACGGATTTTAGAAATTTTCACGTCACTGATTTCAAATCTGTTATCGGTTGCTCTCTACAAGCTACAATTATTAAACAACTTAATAATTTTTTAAAAAATCACTCGAGAGACAGAGAGTCTCCACATCTCTGATACTTAGGGCGTGATGTTAGAAAGGATGCTATAATACATTCCCGTCATACGCCATTGGTCTTAAGTGATATTTTCAAAGGAGCAGACAAATGTATACGCATGTATATAAACGTATGAATAGTTTATAAGCTTAAACGGGCAAAAAATAAACTATAGCAGATATGTCATTTTGAATTTTGAATTACTGTAGTTTCTGGAATAAAACTAATTTCAGATTTGAAATTCTCACACCCGAGATAGGTAAAATCAAGTACTGTATGAATGCAACAAAAAATTTTGTTCCCCAGTGTAATCCATATGCTCCCGATAATCCATTAAGGAGAGATTTAGGAATGCTATCAGTTATGCTAATCTCAATAACTCTTCTCTTCTACGTGTTTAAATAATAAACGAATTTTTAAGAAAAAATTTTTTTTATAGCAAAGCAAAATTTTAATATTAAAAAAAAATTAATATACACTAAATTACTAAACTACTAATATCTACTAAAACGCTAAATTAAATATTTTAGTCAGTTTTATTAAGAAAAAAATAAATATTTCCAGAATTAAAATCATAACTTTAAGAAATATCTGTTCCTGAAAATCATACTTTCTTTATGGATTTAAAAATTGGCAACACACTACAAGTCACCTTTTTTCTACTCCAACTGTTCCGCGTTTTCAAATGCATTTCGAAAACGCATATATACCAACGCCTTTTTTTTCCAGCTTCATTTCTTATTTTCCTACTGTGAGTTAAAAACATAAATAAACAGTCATTATATATGTTTTTCAAATAAAAATCATGTACGAACTCAACCAATTCGCGGTTTTAAATTAGAATTCACAATATAAAAGCATCATTAAAATAAATGAATATATTTTTTGGCTTTAAAAATTTTACTTTTCGTTTTCGATATTAGTTTTACAGTTTATGTAAAAATATGTCATGGATGTCCCACGTACAACAGTATCAAAAACTTTTTAAACCCTCTCTTAATTCATTTCAATTACTGAATATCTGCTATTTTTAATAGATTGTATGCTTTATAATTGGCCACAATAGTTATAACCATCCTGAAATCTTTCAGTGAATATAACATTAACAGGTGTCTGTTACATACTTGTAGTAAGTTAAGTAAAAAAGTTATCAACAAATCAACATCCGACTACAATCAGTTTATTATTTGGATAACCATAAACCATCACATTATTTACACTATTTATAATCTTCAGTTTTTCAGTCGTTCTCATTTCACTTAAAGAAACTATTCTAATTGCCACTTTTCTATTTATTATAGCTATACACAATGCTGTGCATTATCATAAAATATTATTTTCACATATATTAAAATATACTATATATTTTGTAAGGTAACATCACATTCGAAGATATTTTGTCTGTTGCTCCTTTTGGTAACACCATGGACGTGGTACAGTTAAAAGGAAAACACCTAAAGCTCGTTTTGGAACATTCTGTGAAAGATTACGATTTAGATGCTTTTGATCCCCCTGGAAGTTTTTTACAAGTTTCAGGTATCTATATATATATATTTCTCTTACACGGCGACAAAAAAAAACCTCATTACAACTCCCCGAATGGCAACGCTAGAAAACCGACCAGTGATTGCCGCTAAAAATGTCACATGCCAAATCTAGCAGAAGTGGCTCAACATATAGCGCTTTTAAAAACGGAAACTGACATAACCAGAGAGAGCATTCACATTGTAATTTTTTTTTAAAAAAGTTGTTATATGGATTTGAATGATTGTTCTGAATTCTTAGAATTTTGTGCATTTGCAATGTACGTAAGTTAGTAGCGAGCGAAGCGAGCTTGGTTTGCGAAGCAAACCATATAAGATTGCGTAGCAATTTTCGGGGGTTGGCGATCGTTAGCGAGCTGGGGGCGCAGCCCACTAGTATAGTGTATAACCTCAATTTTCAATAAAATGTAATTGACAATGGTTTACTCGTATTTTTTAGCTATGCTAATCTGATCAACGTTAACCATATTGCAGAATGAATTATAAATTCGCATACTGGCAAAATTTTCTGATAAATTTAAAAATGATAAACATATTGTTTTTTTTTAAATAAAAAATTATCGATAAATAAATAAATAAAATTTATTGAATTTAAAAATAAAAATGTAAATACTCGACTTTTTTTTAAGTTTTTATTTCTCAAGAACTATTCAACTAATTTCGTTTTAATTTTGGATTTTGGGATGAAAAACACATCCTTGGAAGATTTTCAGAGATTTTTATACCTTATGTTTCAAAAATTGTGAGACGATTACTAAATTAAATAATAAATAATCAGTATTTGTAGGAAAAGGTAATTAACTTTGAAAGAATTTATCACGTGTCATCTTCCTACTTGCGAGAATTTTTGGATTTGCATGGAAACTGTATTTGAAGCTTGAAGATGATTTAATAGTTGTTTCATTATAGGTTTCTGGTTTTTTGATTTACAGAATTCATTTTGAAACTGTATTTCAAGCTGATTTAAATTTCTTGATAGTTATTTCATTATAGGTCTCCGGTTAGTGTATAACGTATCACAACCAGCTGGTTCAAGACTTGTTGAGGCTTATGCCCGTTGTGCAGATTGTAGGATTCCACAATATCTTCCAGTGGAAGACGAACAGCCTTATTGGGTAGTTATGAATACCTATCTTGTAAAGGGTGGAGATGGGTTTGATGCTGTTCCACAAAACGCTCTGGGCAACAGAAACACCGGTAAGATATTTTATTATAATCCTATTTTTTATTAATACTTATGTGCTTTTATTTTTTTTAAAAAAAGAGCAGTCGTGCTTCGGATAATTTATTATACAGAAATGTTCATAGATAGTCAAATTTGTAGCGAAAGTATCAGACTGAGATAGGTGGTACATCTATAGATATAATATATTTAAGGGTAAATGCACAGTTTTACCACATTTTTTTATATCCATATGCATCCCTGCATAAAAAGGTGTGTACTTATGCTGTCAAAATTTTCCTGTAGACTTTATATTTGTTTTTATTTAAATCATAGTAATTTTTTATTTTATAAACAATCATTTCTGTTCAATTGAGAAAAAAGACCAGTTGGACAATATCCCATCAAGTTCTATTTCAAGTTCAAGTTGGACAATTTCCCATCAAGAATCTTTTAAGTTCATTAAAGTGGCTATAAACTTTATGCAAACAAGATTAATACTGATAGTGAAATCATTTTACTACCATTATATTCTTTACGAAAAATGACCCGTTCTAAATCAATGACAACAGGCACTGACAAGTTAATCCATTGAAGATTAGTTTCAAAGAGTTTGCTTACTTGTTGTTGTTATAGGCCATTAAAGCAAGGGGTGCGATTGTTCTTGTTTTCCAGTGGCGCCATCTATGGCCGTAGATTCGACTTCTGCCACACCCGTTTATAGGACGTACATCCATTCATTTATTCACAGATCGTAATTTTGACCTGAATCAGAGAACGATCGATCTCCAATTCCCCCGTCATTCATAGTAACCCGTGAGGTATAATTTGTAATGGGGACATGGGAGCTTTGTGACCCAACAGATTTAACGTGTCCCAGTTACCATTTACTACACTGGGAGTTTTCGAACTGCTGTTCTNCTGAATCAGAGAACAATCGATCTCCAATTCAGTAACCCGTGAGGTATAATTTGTAATGGGGACATGGGAGCTTTGTGACCCAACAGATTTAACGTGTCCCAGTTACCATTTACTACACTGGGAGTTTTCGAACGGCTGAAATCGAACTCCCGTTCTCACAAACATAAGTCAAATGCCCTACCAACCAGGCTGTCCCGGCCAGTTTGCTTAAGTGGCAGAATTGTTTGAAATATGGAAAAATGAATTATTATTATTTAAGAAGGAATTTTGACGTTAAGAGGAAATTGAATAAGATTTGTTATATTTCACTCGAACTACTTAATAAATCATTGACCGAGTTCGGTGCTATAGACAGGATTGCCATGGGTGTGACTGCAAAAAGTAGTGATATATTTCAAACAACAAAATATCTTCAAAAAGTAGTAACTGATAAAATTCAAAATTTTATTTTAAAAAAAATTAAAATTATCAACTATTTCTAACATATTTTTTTTAGTTTGCCATTGAAAATGATTGCGAAGAATATTTTTGCTTTAACTATGAATAATTAGAAATGTTAGTCCCAGTGGTAGTTACGATTGAATACTTAAAGAGATAATAAATAAACACAAATAAATGGANAAATTATCAACTATTTCTAGCATATTTTTTTTAGTTTGCTATTGAAAGTGAATGCGAAGAATATTTTTGCTTTAACTATGAATAATTAGAAATGTTAGTCCCAGTGGTAGTTACGATTGAATACTTAAAGAGATAATAAATAAACACAAATTAATGGAGTTTCTACTTCTTTTAACATATACTGTGACATCCCTGCATAGTGATTCACTGCTCTGTTGCACAGAACTCTCCCAAAGATGTATTCTTATGTAGTTTCAATAGAAAAATAACAAAATAATAATCGATTGTTGCTTTGCCTCTTTGAACTAAGTCAGCTTTCAGAAATGAACTAAATTTTATTTTTTCCAGATGAATTAGACATTGATATTATAATCAAATATGCTCAGAAATTGTCTCCAGTCACGACAGGCTTAGAAGGAAGAATTACAGTTATCTCAGCAAGAGACAATTTTCAAATGCCAACCACCGAGCAGACAGTTTCGAGCGTCGATGAAATTACTACAGAATCTTCAATACCTGGAGACATTGCTGAAGAAGTTACAATGCATTCGATTCCAGACGGATCGTTATTAATAAATCCATCCATCGGCAATATGATGGATACATTAGAAACAGGTTTAGATAAAGAGCGCACTGGAATTGAGACTCTTAGCAGTAAATTAAACAATTTAAGAGACAGTGTGCGGACAGTTGATATACCACGAGTAGGAAAGTAATCCGAATTTTGAACTTTTTAAGTCAAAGATATATAAATGATAGCATTCATTTTCGATACTCAAAGTAATTTGACATGACAGATTATTTAGTTAATTCTGTAACGGGCCGTTTATATCTAGCAATAATATATTAATATAAATTTTGGATTGAGCTTGAGTTAAGGAAGTTCATTTGGCTTGTTACATCAAATTTGATATTTATCACGAATTTTTTGGGTGATATGTTTACTATCACTCATTAGAGGCTATTAAAAAGTAGGTAATGATTTATAATGATTTATATTTCTTTTTAAAAATAAAATTAACTTCTGAGAAATTTTTCAAAACATAGAGAAATGCACAAGAAGATATCAAAAAGAAGTGTACATGTCTCTTTAATATATCTTAGTAGAATACAAATAGCAGCTACTATAAATATTCCTTAAAATTGGCATATGGTTACCAAATTTGTTCCAGCTGTTCTCCGTCAGAGATGAAGTTATCAGCGTCTAGCAGCACAAATTGAAAGTGGTAAAATAGCTTACAATGGATATATTTAGAAATTGCTGTAATTGGTGGTAAGTATACTTACCATGGCCGTAGAAAGAGCAAATCGAAACTGAGCTGTTGTTTTAAATCATTATTTGATATCACAAGGCATATATGCCATTCTTCCTATAAACATTCTTTCAAAATATTAAGCCCTGCAACGATTTTTACGTTTTGTTTGTTTCAAAATATATTTGCCAGCATTTAAATAGCTGGTTATTTAATTTGATTAACGCTATAAAAATTGCACTCTTTTGAAATTGTCCAATTTTAAATTTCGACTCTCTGCAAAACACCCCAATCTAATATGCATACCTACTATTTATAATGCACATACATCTGTAATAGTAAAAATGCTGACTTTTCAGAAGCTTTAAAAGTTATGACTTTCTTTTCTAAAAGTGATAGTTTTTAAGTTGAGGTTTTCTCACTACATTAACCTTTTATTGTAACAAATATCTTTTACACTTTTCAGTTGATGTATCATATTTTCATGCTTCATTATTGCTTTGCTAGCAACAATAGTATTCTTCATTATTGCTTTTTTTTTACAATTATATTTCGAAAAACAGAGGGAGAATTTTTAAATTACAGTGATATTTTCAAAAAAGAGGGAGAATTTTTAAATTACAATGATATTTTCAAAAAACAGAGGGAGAATTTTCAAATTACAATGATATTTTCAAAAACAGAGGGAGAACTTTTAAATTACAATGATATTTTCAAAAACAGTCAGAGAATTTCTAAATTACAAGGATATTTTTAAAAACAGAGGGAGAATTTTTAAAATACAATGATATTTTAAAAAACAGAGAGAGAATTTTTAAATTTCAATGATATTTTAAAAAACAGAGGGAGAATTTTTAAATTACAAGGATATTTTCAAAAAAAGAGGGAGAATTTTTAAATTGCAATGATATTTTCAAAAACAGAGGAAGAATTTTTCAATTAGACATTTTCTTTCTTCTTTTTTTTTTTAATATTTCCTGGCATTTAAAAGAACTCCACATGATTATCAGCATTGCTTGCAAGTATTGCACTTTTTCAAGAATGTTCTTCTAATGCTGGCGAAATTACTATTACATTGATAACTTGGACCAGCAGAAATCTTTTTTAAACTTCATCAGCATTGAAATATATAAATCTTCCAATTCATTACATAGTCTTTATTATACATGTTTTAAATATTTAAATACGATTGTAGACGAAAAGAAATTTTCAAACAAAAAGAATTTATTTGAAATAAAATTTTTAAGAATAAAATATCAAAGCATGAATTTAGACAACAATTTAATTGCAAAACTAAAATTCTCACTTAAAACCAAGAGAGTATGCGGTTGTTTCAATTTTTAGTTATTACTAGTATGTAGTAGGATAATGTGCTCGTTACAAAGACTGTTTTAAGCCTCTATCAAGTTGAAGAATTGAAGAACAGATAACACAAATTAGAGAAGAAAAGTTGTAATTATATCAAGCTTTCCGTATGCAGGATTTAATTTATAATCGTGGATGTCAAAAAGATTTTAATACTTAAAATCGGAAGCTGCTCACTGCTACGTTTAATGCGAGATATTTTATAGTATTTTTTAAATTTTTATATACTTAAAAAATATATACATAAAAAAAATTACATATACATTCCTAATTTTGTTTAATTTAAAAAAAGATTTTGAACTTTGATTTCAGATCCTATATTTAATATAATATTTTGACTCATAGAATTGTGTTATAATGAAAAATAAATCCTAATATTTGAAAGCTTGTGTCATTATTTTTTTTCCAATTTTTTATTTAAGGGAGCTGTTTTCTTTAAATGAAACATAAAAGTCGTTACTTTGCAGTCACAGCATTTTTTTTAACCTAAATTTGGCAATNATAAATCAATGCAAGGGCCTCAAATTCATGCTTTTGTCCAGAAAGACAAGGTTACTGCATTTATGAGAAAATTGGAACTGTGGATAATAAGTTTGAAAAATAATAACTTTGACATGTTTCCCACTTTTAAAATTACCTGTCTTGCAGATGAAATAGAAGAAAGTAAAGTTCTTATTAATAAACACTTGACCAGTTTAAGGGAGCAATTCTCGTTTTACTTTAAAGATCTTGACATGTCCAAATATGAATGGATTAGAAACCCGTTTGTGATTGAAAAATATGATGATTTTGGCCTTACGACAGCAGAGCAGGAAATGATAATTGACTTATCTAGTGACAGCACATTAAAGCAGATGTTTCAACACGAAAATAATATTGTCACGTTTTGGTTACGAGTAAAGGACGAGTTTCCTACTTTAACAAATAAAGCTTTAGAAATTTTATTGCCCTTTGTAACATCTTACTTATGTGAAACTGGGTTTTCTGCAGTAGCTGTCTTAAAGACAAAGTATCGATCTTGCTTAAAGATTGAAAAGGAACTGAGAACCGCGATATCTTCAATGATACCACGGTTTGACAAAATTTGTGCTGAAAAACAAGCTCACCCTTCACATTAAATTTTTATAATGTTGTATTAATGTTGAATTCTATTTTTTGTACTTTTGTAAGATTTGTTTTTATTACATTATATTATTATTTCTTAAAATAGATAATTATTTTTTATGTATTTTTATACATAATATTGTATATTATTTTGTAGCCCATTAAATAAATTACAATATCAGATGAGTGTTTATGGAATTGGATTGTTAGAAAAATTAAGGGGGGCACAACAAATTTTTTTTCAAAGAGGGGGGCGCAGGTACAAAAAGTTTGGAAAGCACTGTCTTACACTAATGTTTTTTTTAAATTTTTTAAATTTATTTATTGACCATAAACAATGACCATACCATAATGACCATACAATGGTACAATGACCATAAACCTGTAATTCTTACACTGACGTTTTTATATTCTAGATTATGTTAAATTTGTTATCACCTCTGGGCAAAAAGAATAAAATAAAATAAAATAAATAAAGGAAAGAAAGAAAGAAAGAAAGAAAAAACTATTTGAATTATTGAAGAAAAATGAATGAATATAATAATATAAAATAAAATTAACAGAAAGTATGGCAAACTCGAAGAGTCAAATTGCTTTTCAATGTATTTTTTGATAAAAATTTAATTCTTTATTTTCTATTTTTGAAATCTGAAATAAAAACAGAGATGGACAATAACTCTACACAGTCACCAACGGCTATTGTGTTTAAAAAATTTATCCTTGGTTAAATATGTTTTATAAATTTAACAAACATTTTTAAATTGCTGCAGTTATTGTAGAAACATAAGATTGTGAAAACATTAAATACGAACGAAAAACTTCGTTTACAAAATAAATAAATATAAAGGCATAATGTAAACATCCGTTATAGGTCTTAAGGATTGATAACTCTTGACTTTTCTGATTAAATTGGGATCATGCTTTGAAAAACAAGAATTTGAATTCATAGTCGAAAATAAGGGAGTTCCATTTGATTTCCAGAAAGACCAGTTAATTATCAATTTATCAACCTAATTGCTAGGTGGCACTAATTAAGTAGCGATCATTCAACATAGAGAGTTTGAACGAAGGCAAATTAGTACGTAAAAATCCGGTGGTTACATCAGAAACTGTTAGGGGTAGTATTTTTTTTATGACTTTCGAGTTCTTTTTTTCTTGATAAGTGTTCTGATTAAAAACATACAAGCCGGGCCTAGGTAGAGCTTTAACATCCCCAATTTAGTCCATCACAAAAAAAGGATTTTTTAATAAATAATTTTTGTATTATTTTTACTTATGTTGGATGAAATAAAAATTATATTTTATATTCATAACAAACCTTTAATTTAAAAAAAAAAAAAAAATAATGTGCAAAATTAGGATTTTAATATTAAGCCATCGTTAAAAAATGTGTTTATGAGTTAAAAAAAATAAGTATGTAAACAATTTTACTATGTTTACATTTCTTTAACCCCTTGGGGACGGATGATTCATAAAAGCATTCGTACAAAATCAGAATCAAGTTGTAATTAAATAAAAAACGGTAACTTAAATGTAGTCGTTGCTAATTTGACAGACTTACTTTGCTTTTACTTTAATTATTGTTAGTTTAATCATATATATAATCAATGTTAATTCAAAGTATAACTAAATAGTTTTATTTTGAGCAAAGTAATGGTGAATTAAATAAATCAAACAATTATAACTCCGCCCACAAATAAACTGCTAAAGAAATACTTTGATTACCAGTTTTATATTTTTACCCTGATTGATACGGTTTTACGCTGTCACGTATTTGTGACAGTCGGCGCGAAAGGGTTAAAGATTATAAGAAAAGTAACAGTCGCTAACCATTTATTGCATTTTCAATAAACTGAAAAATTGCATGCTGTGGCCCTTAATAAACAAAAAAGTCTTAGCTATCTTCATTTCTTATAAGCACAAAAGTTATAAGGATAACAAAATATTTCTTAACTTTTTTATTAATAGATTACCTGTAAAATATTTATTTACCCTTCATTTAACAGTCGTCACACGTAATATTTGTTTACCATTATTTCCTAACACACATAAAGATAATAACTTAATTCCCTACTGCAACTATTATTTTCTTTTTTACTTTAATTATTATCCAAAATTAAATATATAAGATTCTTTTATTATATCATAAAATAATCATGTGGTTCTACCTTATTGCGTAGCATTTTGTGTTAACTATACTTTATGACTGTTTTACAACTATCAAATATATATTAAATAAGTTACATCTATTTATTTTATTATAAATTATACGTAAAACTGTAAAGTGATATTAGTAGTTAACTTCTCGTACTGTTTCATAGCAATCTTTTTAGCAAAATCATTTTCAATAGTTTTTATATTTACCAAATATTGATTTATTAAACAAAAATAAGCTTGCGAATGGAGATGCATTGATCCTAATGTTTTTTTTTTTAATTTTCATTTCCAATGGCAAATTTATTGGACAGTAGTTACAGCACAATAAGAAAAGTAATATACAATAAACGATGGTAGACATAATGCAGTAACTTGAGTCCATTGATTCAAAAGGTCTCGGGCTTCCCAATATCGCTCGGTTAGAGAAGACCTGCGCAAAGCAGGACAGTGCATAATATGGACGGCATCCATTTTCTCCCCAAGGTTACAAAGTGTGCAGATGGGAGAAGGAGCAATGTTAATTCTGCGAAGGAAGACAGTCGCGTCCAGTAGCCAGGCGGAATTCTGCCACAGCTCTACGCCTTGAACCAATATAGGATTTTGCAACTAAATCCCTCCAAGGTTTATCGGACACTCTTTTGGACAGGTCCATGAGGGAATGGTCTTTTATGCAATTTGTCACCATTTTCTTGATGGAATAAAATGGTATTGCGCGGGAAGGAATTTCAATAATTGAGGTGCCCTTTTTGGCCAAAAAATCTGTACTGTCGTTTCCTACAACTCCGCAGTAGGAGGGTATCCACTGAAGGACAATGTTTTTCCTGTGTGACTCAAGGCTTCGAAGGAGTCGTCGGCAGTCTATGACTTCAAGGGTTTTGGGATCGTCAGAGGAATTGATGGCTTGAACTGCGGCCATAGAGTCACAAAAAATAACTGCTTTTGTAAACTGGTCAAGGTGACAGTGAATTTGAGACAGAGTAGCTCGAATGGTGGTAATTTCACCATCAAATGTAGTTCCTTGTCCCACGGAAGTTTAAAATGAAAATAATTTTGAGGAGATTCCTGCCCCTAATGATCCTAAATGTAGCGGTATATAAAAAAAATGAAAAAACATTTTTTTTCAAGATTCCACAGATTAAGTTTCTAACTTCATTGAGATTTTTTTTATACCACTAAATGATCCTAATGTAGCGGTATTAAAAAAAAAATCTCAATAAAGTTAGAAATTTAATCTGTGGAATCTTGAGTTATCATATGTAATAAATATTTTTCTGAACTTTCAACTAAACAATTTTAAATTTTGATGCAACATTTCATTTCCTTCAAAAAAAGGAAGAAAAAAAAAAGTAATAATTGTGTATAAATCGTGGAGGGAGGTGAAAGTAACGAGCAGAGGTGCTCGCAATTCATAATTTCGTCAAGAATAATTTCGAGCCAAGTCAATTAATAATTTCGTTTCCGGAAAATAAAAAAGAACTCAAAAACATTATACCAATACAAATACTTTTAGTGATGCAAAAATATTAAGAGTTGATGTTAAAATCATTTTAATTTATCTTCAGTGTGAATATTTTTATTGACAGAATTTTACACTTTACGAATGATGCGCCAATATATTACATTTACTCAATTACATTTTTAGTTAATTTCTTTGATAATAGATGGCAGCAAAAGCAATCTTTCTAAAACAATACACTTAATAGTTTCTCAATTTTACGTATTATCTGGGATTCTTATTTAACTGTTGATCGCGCTAACTATGGGTGAGTTTAGCCAGCCTTACTTCGTCAGAGAGACGGTTGTAGACGTTTAGTTTGAGGACCTGTCCATTGAATAGCCCCTGGCGGAATCCAACTCTTTTTTTTCTTCTCCAATCTATTCTTTCGAAATTTTCATTGCATTCAAAATTGTCTTCGATAGTTTCACAAAAAAGAAGAAGAAGAAAAGTTTCCTTTTTATTTTTCGTCAGCGGCAATAGTATTGAGTTCGATACTCGTAACGTTTGATACATATACATATTAGAAATATTTTCAAATTAATCGTTTTACTTCTTTTTTTCTTTTTTTTTTTGAATTTTCTTTTGGTTTAGCTTATTTTTTAAAAAAAAACTAAAAATTTCTGAATCGAGCATAAAAACTCACATGTGAGTGTTTATCAATATAAAGCAAATTATAATTGAAAACAGAACCATGAAGTTCCATTTGATTTCGAAAATATTTCTGTATTATTTATTGTTATTTCAGTTATCGGTATAAATTCATAATTATTTAAATTTAAATGATAAATAAAATGCATTCAACCTCTTGAATTAAAAAAAAAGTTTTAAAAATCTTAATTCCTGAATTATTATTAATTTGAAATTTAAGTAAAACTTGCCCATAAGTATAGATAAGCATAGAAAAAAAAGCATAAAATATTTTGAGCTTTGTAATAATTAAAAAGAGATTTTAAAATAATTGCAATATTATAATTTAGTAAATTTCCCATAAAAATACAAATAGCTAATTTTCACAACTTTTATTTTTATTTATTCGCTAAAGTATTATAGTATTGTGATCAAAAGAAATATTTAAAACACGAAGATTTAATGTTATGATGAATTCAATAAGATTGTTATAGTATACCATATGATAAATATTTAGATTTGAAGCTGGACTTACTATTACTTGAATATTTATACTTATATAACTTGAATATTTATATATTATTCAAATATTATTATTGATAAAATTATTTTGTTTCTTGAAAACAAATCCTAATTAATCCTAATTAACAAATCCAAGACACTTGTGCTTCATTTTTTACCAAAAAAATAAATAAGTAAATAAATGAATAAAAATATGTGGGCGTTTTTCTTTTTTCTTAAAGCACACTCTTAAATAGCTGCCAATTCTTCCGGATTTTAAAATTAATTTATTTAGATTTAAAGTCAAAATTTGTTCAGGGAGTTCATTTTTTATTTTGTGCATTGTACGATGAACAATACCTGAGGTACTTCTTGAAGCAAAAGATTATTAAGTCAATCATTTATAATTTCTTTCTCTATATGTATGAGTCCTTTTATTTTTGATAAATGCAGATAATTAGCCAAACTGTATACAAAAAAAAACTAAAAGCAAGGAAAGATTTGAAAGAATAAGAGAGGTAAAAACAAGTAAAATAGTTTACTTTTTTCGATTTTTACAGCCTTTTTAGCGAAATTTACTTTAAAATGAAGGAAATTTATCATTGCAAGTTTTATTTAAGAATATATTAGATGAGGTCCTGACCCATCGGTCGACTTAGTTGGCACGCATATGATTTAATTAAATGATACAAATATTGAGAGTTATTAAATTAATTTTTGTTTCTCGTCAGTCTGTATTCTTCTTGACAGAATGTTCATTATTCGAAAAATGATTCGACAAGTATATCACTTTAATATAACTTCACATTTTTATTTAATTTTTTCGATAATAGATGGCAGCAACACAATTCATATATTTACTTATTATTTTAGATTCTTACTTCAATGTTAGATCACATATCTTTGTCGAGTGGGCTTAGCCAAGTGGTTACTTCGTCAGATATTGCTATTATTTTCATTTGAGACTCTTCGCTTGACCATCCGCTGGCGCAGTCCCACTTTTTTTTCACGTCTCCTGTTGTTGATGTCGTAATTTTACATTATATGTAAAATTTTTTTCAATATTTTCACAAAATATAAGAGAATATCAATAAATATATATTTTTTTCTCTTCGCTTGAATAGTCGTGAGTTCGATACCCACGGTGGTCTGATTTTTAAAAATTTATAAAGATATACATAAACTTGCAAAGTGACTGTTAATTTATAGTTAATAATTCGTTACTATTTATTTGAATGAGAAAAACTTTTTCCTCTACTCAGTTCATTCAAATTTTTTTTCCGAGTTATCAAAAAAAGTAGTAAGATTTTTTTAACTTTTTTCATCGGCATGATTACCTTTTCTTCCCCATTACTTTCGTCCTAATTTCCCTAGATATTTTCTAAAGTGAAATGAAACAAAAAGACTTAAAAATACATGGAATTTTATTAAAAAAATATTTAACATCTTAAAATAAAAAATTAAAAATAACATAAACACCGAGTAATTATCACTCTTTCTGTATATTTAAATCATCTTTTTTATGCAGTAAAAGACAATGCTTAAAACCAAATTTATTAAGACAGGAATAAAATATTAAAACAGTAGATTTGTTACCGTTGCTAATTTCTTTTTTCGGTAAAATGATTTGTTGCCCACGCTTTCAGGTGCACCAATAAGGTCTGCCAACGTTTCTACCACAGTAAGGCAGATAGAACAGAAAACATCCATGCCTTTTCCGGGGATTCGAATTCAGGTCCTTTCTGATGCGTGGTTAGCTTCCTGACAGCTACACAGTCCGGCCAGGATTGAAAAAACAAACAAACAATGTTTCGGGAAAAATGCTTAAATTGCTTTATAATCATTAAAACATTCAATAATACCAGTTCATAATATACTTTGTACTCCAAGAAATTCCTAATGGTAAAATTAATGGACGTTTTGTACCAGAATTATGATAAGGAAAAAAATAAACTGTTTCCCGTACTTGGATAAAAATGTCGAACTTAATATTTTTATTAACCTCAGCAAAAATATGACTGATGTATTTTTATAATAAAAAACAGTAAGGAATATTAACATTTACTGTGAATTTGTTTTGTTAAGGAATAACACAGTGATTCTTTGTTTCTTCTGTAATATTTATGTAATTTATAGTATATTTAATGTTTACTAATGTGAATAGAATAGTTATATATTAGGACAGTGTTTATTCAAAATGTTTTTGAATTGAATTATCCCTTTAGCCAAACAAGTCACTTCTACGTTAAGTAATAAATGTAATTCTTTGTTCATGGTTTCTGTTATTTGAAATTTAAAAGAAACGCTAACGTTTGCAGCAAAAATAAGTATGTTTATCCCGTATTTTGTGTATGTAGAAAATCGACATTCAACAATCATGTCTCAAATTTGTATCGTTGACTTTGATTTAATTAAATTTTTAAAAAAATATATTAAATATTTTTGTAAGAATTGTTACAGTGTTTCTTTATAAATGTCTACATCCTTAGTTTAAAGTATTTATTTTAAAAATGTTCAATTCTTTACTACAGATATTGCATTTTTAAATCATCACCGTCATTAGAATCCTTTGAAACTTATAGATTGAAATGAGAATTTGGACAGTATACATTTATTTAATTTCAGGTTTGAAATATGAATGGAAAAAATTCATTACAGTTGGTTTGAATTATAATAAATAAATGCATAAATAAAGCTGAATAAATTTTTTAAATAAAAACATGCAATCAATTTTAAGAAAATTATTTATTTTAATTTAATTAAATTGATTTTGTAATTAATGTATGCGAATTACTATTAAAATGCGATAAGTTATTGCATACTTGAATTTAACAAATTTATTTTTGAAATGATTTTGTAAAATGATCTAATTAATCTGCTAATTATCATTTTTTTTTCTTTTAAATTTGTCATTTTAAAAAATAGAATAATTAGAAATATCTGCTTTAGTGCTGTTATCTAAAAGTATCTATGGAACTAAAAAAAAGAAAACAGAAATGCATAAGAATAAATGATTTCATGCTAATGCAATGGCTAATACTCATATCAACTAAATAGTTATAGATTTTACAAGTTTTATTTTGAAATACTAAATAATTATTTGAATTTTAATTTACTTAGTTACTTTAATAATAAAGATAAATTAGAAAAAAAAAGAAAAAAAGAATGGAGCATGAAAATTCATACTGGAGGGTTTATCACAATAAGATCAAAGAAATTTTCAAAGTAGATCAAAAGCTTTAGAACTGTGCTTGATAATTTTCGAAGATTAACATCATTATCAAAAATTAAATTCGAGGCAAAATAAAAAAAACCTCATTTGATTTCAATAATATTTTTAAAGTATTTATTGTTTTTTAATCAATACATTTTTAAACTTATCGGAATAAATTCATGATTATTTAAATTCAAATATATAACATCATAAGTAACAATTATAAAATTTCGCAAACAATTTAATAAAATTAAGTTTAAAAATATTAGTTTACGAAATCTTAAGAAAAATTTTAAGTAAAAATTGCTAATAAACATTCTTAATAAATTAAAGAAAAAACTGTAAAGAAATATGAACTTCGTTACATTATTTAATTAAATAAAATGTGTTTTAAAATAATTGCAACACTTTCATTTATTAAATTCTCCATAAAAATACAAATGACTAATTTTTACAATTTTCCTTTTCATTTATTTGTTAAAGTATTAATATTGCAATCAAAATAAATATTTCAAACATAGAGATGAAATAATATGTTGAATTCAATAAGATTGTTAATTTATACTATAGGTATGTTTGGTGTACACAATTATAAAACATTCAGTTCATTGTCTGAATGAATAAATATTCCATATGTATATACATTTTATATATTTATTTCCTCAGTCACTCATTTTGAACGTTTCTGTCCGATAATCAGATTCAATTTGATTCTGAATAAAACTGAGTGTTTGTTCAACAATATCACTCACTTCTTGCTGGGATTCACTTGATTCACATATGCACATTTTGTCATCACTTTTTTCAACAAAATGTTCTAAATTGTCTCTTTCTTCACGTGTGGTGTCGCCATCTTGTGAAGAATTAAGGAAGCTTTCTTCCAGTGCAACACCGGAATCGTTGTGGAGGACTTCAGCAAGGTGACTTTGTTGCTTCACCAGGTGTTCGTTAAGGCCGGCTGGAAGGGGATGATCGGGGGCTAGTCCTTCCTCTTCCAGTAAAAACCTAATGGCTTCCTTGGCACAAGCGCGAAAACCAGCGAGTAGTAGATGAAAATAACGGTCGTCCTCTGCTTCAGAAGAGCCTAATTCTATGTCCTCGCTTAAATCTGGAGCATCCGGCATGGTTTTGTATGTAGTCTATTTTTCTGCGGGAAGGAAATTAAAAGTAAAACTATCAAAAAATTCCAATATAAGGAAAATGGAATAAATGTAAATAATATGTGCGTCCCTAATTTAGAATTTCACTAAATAGAAACTGTGTTTAACCATTTCAAAAAGCAGTTAGTAAAAAAATGAATCACTAATTTTCGTCTACAAAAATACAACACTTTCCAAACTTTAAGTAATTAAAAATTATTAACAGATAGTATTTACAAAAAGGTTGATTGGAACTGCACAGAAGAGATAGTTTCTTATTTTAATTGTAAACAATATATTACAGTACCTAAAATGTCACAATTAACTTTCTTAATGATATTGTTAAAATTTAGTTTAATTAATTATTTAGTTTTAAAGAGTGTTCCAAAATTATTGCAAGTCGTAATTTTGATGGGAAACTTTGGGTTCTTATTTCAAAATTGTGATTTTTATGCAACAAAGAGTTATACGAGACAGCATATCGCGTAATAAATTTGCTGTTTCATACGCAAACGCGAAATTTTCTATGACCGATCTTTTCCAAATGTGTTGGAATTCATTTGCTTTTTATAGGACACTTCATTTGAATGATAGTCAATTTTATTCTTTAAGAAACAGGATTGTTGGCAAAAATTCTTTTTTTTCTTTATCACTCTTATTGTTGTTATATTTAATTTAGTCATAATTAATTATATAAATAAATTTATAATTAATATTTTAATTTATTGAAGTTATTATTATAAATAATTAATTATAACAATAAATTAGGAAAAAAACCTTCCAGGCCGTAAAGAGTTAAAGCGCGTGATAACAACCAGAAAATGACACAACAATACTTCAAATATCGTTCGGCAATGAAAACCTTTTGTTCTTCCCTTTATTTTTCTTCTTTTTGTAGCCATGGAAACTGTAATCTGTATTTCTGTTACTTTTATTTTTCGTTGGCAAAATTTAACAGCTCAAATTCCTCTCTTGAACTTAGCGCCATTTAATGGCATACCTTTTAAACGCATGATTTATTATTATATATAAAGTATTTTGTTTGTTAATTACCTACTTCCAAAGATTTTATTTTTATCAAAATCGCCGTTTTTTCATCCGCATTTTAGAATCAAATAGTTGTTGATTCTTCGGCATTTTAAAATGTGACTCTATTTCTTAATTAAAAAGCTCAAATAATTCAAAGATATGTTTAGCCTACAGGCCTGGAATAGAAACGGAAAAGAGAAAAACTGGTAGTGAAAAGCTATTTAGCTTATAGCTGGTTTTCGTGAGGAGGAGTAACATATGCTCTAATTATTGCTGATTATAAACTATTCATAGCTATTTGCTTTTTTTTAGGGCAAGAAACAGTTTTAAATAAATGTTTTAACTGTTATAAAATAAATCTTAGTATCCACGGATATCGTATTCTCCCAAAAACAAGCTAGAATAAAAAATTAAAAAAAATTAAATTTTTTTTAACCAGTTTTGCTATTTTTCGTCTTGAAATATATGACTCTGATCCCTGGTAGTCTATTTTTTTTCTTCTTTCAAATATGCTTCCTTTTTTAATTTTGTATTTGAGTTTGATTGCTAAGTTTTCCACATAAAATTAATTCGCAACAATAATAATAATAATTTCGAATTATTAACATATATATTGCAGAAATTTTTTAACTGCATACCATGATGGGTGCAGATGTATTGATAGGATTTAGTAATACTAAATGCAATCAAATATGATTGTAATTAAAACTTTCTATATCTCGAATGATGAAAAATAATCTAACCGAAACGACAACACCCTACTTTTAGAAAGCGGGAAAAGAGCATATATTAAAAAAAAAAAAAAAAAATGAGGGTCGAACACCAGATGTTACAACCAGCTGTCGAATAACCCTCGTCTATAGAACGGCCAAATCGTGAACCTCTTCGATTTTAAAAAGAACGTTAGTTGAAAGATTTTATGTTTCTTTTTTCCTCACTCGTATAAAAAGTCGATGTATATTTGTTCATGATTTCTAAATTCCAAGACAATTTTTTCTTAATCGTAAAATATTTTATAACTTAGTGTTCTTATTATTCTAAACATTATCCTTGTTTATGAATTTAAATTACATAATTGGCATTAAAGTTCTTTTAGTACGAATTATTAATTTTTTTTTCAGACGAAAGCTAAAAATTCCTCTAGATTGAAATAATCACAATTTCTAACATTAAATTTTTTTAAAGTTCATTTTAAGGTCAATAGCCTTTAATAAAGTATCAATCTGAAATAAATTAATCACTCACCTTTTCTCGGTAGTTTTAACATCTGTAGAAAATTGTCAATATTTAATAAAGCAATTAACAAATGCGTGAAAGAACTTCTCCAACAAATATTTCCCTTACAGTACAATCAAGAAATAAATTAACTATATTATTAACCGTTTTTAAATATACCTAGAATACGTTTGGATATTCATAAAAAAAATAAATACATTATAGCCTATTAATGCTCAACATTTTAAATAATAGTACGAGAAGAAAAGCTATTTTTAAAAGTAATCGTATATATTTGTTTCTGTCAAGCAATGATTTTAGCTTTCCCAATATTCACAGTTATATACATTTTAAAATATTGATACAAAGAACTTTATGAAAAAAGTGGTACCACATTTGTGACTAAATTAAGCGACATTTTATTCCTGTTCTTACCAATTAGGTTAAAAGAAGAATTAAAAAAAATTTTCAGAATATATCTCAGATTTTTTTTATTTTTAATAGTATTGTTAATATTCTTTGGATACGAATGTTGTGGCCCTTCAGCGTTCTTGGATCATATTTTGTCACTTATAATCGCATTGACGAAAAAAATATTAGCTCAAATGTATTGCTTTAATAAATGGTATAGAGCGATTTCAGAATTGAATGTATTTCCTAAGCAGAAAAAAAAACTTCAATAGTGTTGACGTAAAATATCTACGGATCATGGGTTAAAGTCCCTTAGCCGTCAAGCTGACCGTGGGAGGTTTGCGTGGTTTTCCTCTCCATGTAACTCAAATGCAGGTTAGTTCCGTGGTAGAAAAATTTATACATTCACACTTTATTCTTTTTTTAATATATGGGATTTAAAATGATTTTGAGTACCATAATACTTAAACATTTGAAATATGTAATCTGTATAGTAGATGTGTTGGCTCTCTTAATTGTGTTTTAGTGTTGACTAAATTTGAATGAAATACTAGAACTTTAAACATCTAAATTTTAATGAATCAATTGAAATGGCATTTCTCTAGAACTCGATAGAAACTTTTTTAAAAGAGTAAAAGATGGCAGGTATTAACTGAAAGACAGCAAACAAAAGTTCTAACTTAATATGAAACTATCAGAGCATTTAAAGTTTCTTTTAAAAATTTCATTTTCACTGAAAAATAGCTCTGTAGTAAGTTTAAGAACTTAATAATGACACTTAAATTGTCAATATGGTGTGGAAATTGTAAATTTTTTTTTTCATTCAAAAATAATCGAAAACTATTTTAAGTCTCCGACTATTATTCTGATTTTTTACGATGAGAAAACTGTAAACAATAATTTTGATTATAATCAGGTTAGCGGGGGGGGGGGGGGTATTTCTGNGGGGGGGGGGTATTTTTGCCTGCAATATAATTGTCATTACATTACCATTTAATAAAATTCTCCTTGGAAAAGAGCTAAGTTGGTCCGTATATGGCTATAACCTTTTAACGCAGAATTTTTATTAAACATATTTTTCACACTTTTTTTTTATTATTCTGTATTAATTTAGGTCAAAATAAGTGAAAAATATTGTAATTATAATTTACGGTTCTGAATATATTTCATAGTCCTGAAGTACAGCATGAGACACCGGTGTCTTTTAGCACCAAAAGTAAAATCTTCCAAACACGGCTCACAATAATTTTTCAAATTTGCACTTATTTAGATTAAAGAAAAACAGATATCCATCATTGAAATTTCTGTAATTTACAAAATCAATTATTGATAAATTTTTGAATATGAATAGAAAAAACAAATCTATCAAGATTTTTAATTCTTCGAATTTTACTACAAATATAATTGATATATATATATATATATATATATATATATATATATCTTTGCATCTTTCTCTTTGTAAAAATAAGTAGTAAAAATTTCAACATAACGAGAAAAATCATCTATTACAGATACGAAATATTCAGCTCCGCCAACTGAATTTACTGGACTTTTACCCCAAACATCCATATGTACTTTCTCTAATACACTTTTAGTCATTATACCATGATTTACTTTAAAACTAGTTCTAGTCGATTTAGTTATTTTACAAGTATTACAAGTATCAAATTTACCACACAAATTATCTAAACCATTCACAACATTGTTTTGACTCATATGATTTAACATTCCAATATTTAAGTGGCAAAATCGTCTATGAACCAATTCCCTATCTAGACCTGTACTAAATGCTAATTCTTTAGTTACTACCACTTTTTCAACATAGCCTTTAAGTATATACAACTTATCAATTCTAGGTACAGTAAATAAATAATTATGGTTTTTACCAAATACAGTCATTTTGTTGTTACCCCATTTTACAGTAATCCCTGCTAAATCCATATTCGAACCGCTTATTAAATTTCTACGCATATTGGGTGCAAAATATACATTTTCTAATTTTATGGGAACAAATTTATCTCTATCTTTAACATTAAAATGTATATCACCAATACCAAAAATATCAGACTTACTATTTTTATCTCCAACAAGTACTTGACTAGGATTCAAAGTCTTGAAGTTACTAAAGTAGTCTCTTTGTGTACAGAAGTGAGCTGTGCTGGCAGTGTCAATCAGGAATTCAACAAACTGCTTGTCTTTCCTTTGGCGAATTTCAGCATCTCTTATCGTAGTCAAATCACTGTAAAAAGTTTCCTTGGAATCTTGAGTTTTAGAATTCCGTTTCGTGGTTTTCTTCTTCAGGAAACATCTTTCCGCACTATGTCCTTTCTTATTGCAGTAGGAACACATAA